TAGGGCGATGTATATCATCTTCCCACCAGATGAAGACGAGATGCCCATGATTTGACGAGTCTTATAGACTAAGGATACAAGGGAACTGTAGTGGCTTCGTCAAAAAATTTTCTACACTTATTTCATTTTAAACGGAAATTTATTTAGTCCCAACATCGATAGAGAGAGCAGCAAGAATGTGGCATCTACACAGATTGTGGAGAAATTGAGTCTCATGACTCGAAGTCCCAACAGTGTTTTCTGATGATTTTGAAGAAAGAGAATAGATCAAAATGACGAGATTTCTAATATAATTTTTTACTAGAAGCCATGTGAAGGATCAGGTGTCGTGCAACGCGCTCAATGGACATTTGCCATGTTTTGCTTGGGAGAGCATGAAAATATGACTGCAATATTAAACATAATAGGGAATGCCTACTCTCTCATGAAAGATAGTAAGCATATCATCCTTCTTCCTACTATGGATTTTGAGACTATCGGTTCCTTCGTCTTCCCCCTCCTAATTATCAACTATTATAAATATGATATTTTCTTTATTTAGGATTAATTTTTGCTATATTTTTTTGTATATTCTTTGGCATCCCCAATTTTACATTTAGAGTTATATCCGATGAAGAGTGGTGCTCGGCTTTATCTCGCTCCAAAATGGTGATTATCCTCGACTTCCCCATCCTCTTCAACTTATCACTCGATGATCTTCTACCTGTGCAGCTTCACTTCCCTTGTTTTCCCTTCTGTCAGCCTTAATCGCTCTTCCTACTGTAGTCGCAACCAATATAGCACCTCCACCTGTTACCGTAATACCTTTCATCCCACTCAGCTTGCTGCCTCCAGCCCTCCAACCTCCCAAACCGCTGTGACCATCCTTTTCTCTACCTACCTGCTACTACTGCCCCATCATTCCTACCTTCCAATGCTACAGCCACGCCATTCCAACCTCCTGTTGTGCTACTTGTTATCCAACTGCCACCCAACATCCTCATCCTTGCCCTAGGTTGTTTGAGTTCGTTGTCGTTTATTCTTGTTATAAGAACCCTTTCGTAGTAATTTTCCCGTATTTCTACAATAATATTTACAATTTGCTATAATTTTTGTTAACTCCAATGTCACGTATAACCAAAACATAGAATTCAATAGTTTGTTACTTATTTCCAACAGTTTGTCTCGTTATGTAAACAAACTCTCTCATGTCAGTTATATCAGTCTAATAGAATTTTCAGAAAGAAAAATTAAATAGTAGATTAAATTTACAATAACTTAGTGAATATTTATCACTTTTATATACATTAATATTTTTATTTAAATTTCTAACATAAAATTCAACAATCTCCTACTTATTTCCAACAGTTTATCTCCTTTTGTGAGCAAGCTCTCTCCTGTCAGTCATACCAGTCTAGTAAAGTTTTTTCAGAAAAAATAATTAGATAGCAGATTAAGATTAAAACAACTTAATAAATAATTATCACTTTAATATGCATTAATATTTTTATAAAAAAGTCTAACACGATTGTTCAAAGGAATATGTTGATCAATCTACAAAATTATGCATTTTTTATTTTATAAACCTTATTAAATCATCTTAATCAATTATATTTTTCATTTCATTTTCCTTCAAAAAATCATCTTAAAAGCACTACCAAAAATATGTATCGATAAAAGTACAACATTTAACATTTCATTTACCATTTTGTACTAATAAAGGTACCAATTTTATCATTTTCTTTATCATTTTGCATCAATAAAGATACAATCATTATAATTTTATTTACTTTTAACATGCACGAGTATAATAGCAACCCTAACTCAATATCATAAGGAGGTGACTCCTGATAACTTATCATTAATTTTTTTTACAAATATTTAATTCATTTAAATCATTAAATCCAAATATTTTTTATTTTATACAATGCAAAGGTTGAAAGAATTAAAATCATAAAATAGTTATTTTAGCTTTACTTTTCTTCTTTCAAGTATAAGATTGCCTTTAATATGTATGAATTAATAAAATATTTATAAAACAAGAGAAACTAAGTTTTAAGCAAATAAACCATTAATAACTCACCTTGACCTTTCTAAGTCCTCTTTATTAGCTTATTCCTTTATTTTACATGCTTTGGCTATCACCTATATCCATTAAACCTGCATATATAAAGATTTTATCTTTAAAAGAACCGACTAAAATAAAACTAGTTAATTTAAATCTACTTCCCCCAATAACCTTTTGAATCAAATGCTCTTCCAAATTTAATTGTTGATTTCACTCATCAAAATATAATATCCACTTAATAACATTTAATTAAAACAATATAAATGAATAAAAATATAAACATTTACCTCCTCTTTATTGTCGTCAATTCTTCCCAATTTCCAATTCAAATATCTTCCTCTTCTAGCAATGACAATAAATAAATAAAATAATAACTAATACTATGCAATTAAATATATAAACTCCCAACATAAAAATTAACCGTGAACATGCCTCACTTTATCACCAATATCAATCTCCTCTTTTTCTTTAATACAATTATTGTCACAAATTAATATAATTTAATAATAATATTTTTAATGAGCATTAAATCTAAATTAATCTAAAATTTTAACTTCGTTTACTTTATAGCCTTCCCTTCTAGGTGATCCACTCATCAATCTCAAATCAGAAAATTCCTTCTTCAATGTTTTCTAATTTAGTTTAACATAAAACCTACATTAACACTTTAATTTAAATTCAACTTAATCTATTAAAAAATCTAATAAAAAACCAAACCCTGACCTTTACTTATATGCTTGGTTTAGTTCTTCCTCGCACCAAAAGCCGCACTCAATCGCTCCTTGTCGCATGCTAGGACTCAATCGCCTCTTCTCCCGTACACAGACCCTCACCTCCTCTTTCATGTGAGAGAACATGATGCGCGAGATTCCCTTCATCTTCTCTTTTAAGACCGACTTGATCTTGCCTCACGAGTGGACTATCTCCCATTCTCACCTCTTTGCTTTCTTCACAGATGTGATTTTACCGCTATGGTTGAACATGAGCCTCCTTTTTCTTTTTCTTCTTCCTTCTTCTCTGACTCGCTTTCTCCCATCTATGTCGTATTTTTGTTTGTTCAATTGGGGACACTCGCCTCCTTAACAAAGAAATATTGAGAAGGTTTACTACTCAAACCAACGTTACCAATTAAAATTCATATTATTTATTTATTTGTTTATTTTCATTTATATCACAAACAAAGGTAAACTGAGAGTCGGATAGGGGCTCTATGCAGGAAAACAAGCCAACCCAAGAAGATCAACTGTTGATTGGGCCAGCAGGAAATCTGTGAGGTCTGCAAGTTGCCAGCAGAAATATTGCTAGCCTTCTCTTGTCATTAGTCTTGGAACCGAACAAGAAGAAACTCCAAGTAAGGTAGAAGATAAACTGTACTACCCTTTGCAATTTGAAAAGGTACGGCACTATTCAACATACCCCTTTAAGCTCGTTTCAAAACACCATGCAATTCAAGCTTGACGATCATTTTTTTCAAATAGAGTTATTATCAATGCTTTTATCGTAATGCTTGTAGTTTACATATGAGGGAATAAAAAAAATACACTCATCTTTATTAAGACTTTTTTCTTTAAATAGTGTTGATCTAACTCCTCAGATTTAGTTCAGTAATGATAGACAGAGTTGTGCGTTATCCTGATAGTTGCCTTATCACCATAATATAGAATAAGAAATTTGATTGTTACGTGTCGTTCTTCTAGGAGTAGCAAAAGCTAGATTAATTTCTTAAATACTAGCCCCCTTCTTGGGTTCCCATCTAGATATTTTAGAATCCTCAAGGCCATATTCAAGAGTTCTTCGTGAGATGCATGTAAGAACAAATTTACCGTCTTTATAAAAAAATATAACCTGATTGCTGAGCTTAAAATACAAAGAAACTTAGAGCTTAAAAACAGCCATAATTGGGCAAAGGGCAAAGAAAGGGAGGAAATTAACAAGGAAGCAATACGCCTAATCAATGCACTAAAGTATGTGATGAATGCAATATTTTATATTTCTTCCGCATTAGGAAACAATGGTAGCAGACAGCAAGGAAGTGAGCTGGTTCTTGCATGATAGAATGCATTTGGCAAATGTAGATGGAAGGCTGTGAAATGCACAATGGCAACAGGCAACTAGAGGAATGAAGGTAGATGGATGCAGCCTTGAAGATGGCCGGCTGTCAACAACAAAACGTCAAACATTTTGCTTGTTATAAAGAGCTACAATTAACATTTTTCTAATTCAATTAAATGGCTAGGTTCAATGGATGAAATTGAATAATTTTAATTGAAGGTAAATCTTGAGAAACAATTTTCACACTATGGTAACAAGTTATTCAACACATTCATCATAACATTTGTATTTCTAAATGTTGATCACTTTGTTTCTCAACACAGATCCATAGACTTTATTGCCTCAAACTTTTCAAAAAATAACATAAACAAATTCACATTATACACTTGTACAAGCTAGTGTAGTGATCTCATATAAATGAGATCATAAATATGAATCATTGGAATGTTCTAGATCATTCACAAACACCACAACTAATATGATTGATAGATTATGGCTCACACAAGAAAAACGAATTGTGCTGCAAAAGACATACCCAAATATCATTTATCCTCTATAGTCAACTTATGAAAACTGCATTGACAACTATTGAATTGCATTCACTAAAATCAGTCTTCATTCTATTAATCTTCAGACCATCTCATTTTACCTACATTATTCAATTTTTTTATGCTCACTACTAATGTAAATGTCATCTGCAAACCTTGGTTACAAGAAGAAAAAAAGCCTTAAAACAAACAATACTCGCTAAAGGGGAAATGGGGACAAGCATTTTCTAGAGGTCGAACAAAGAAAGCATAATAACCACAAATGAATAATAACAATAATGGTACAAACAACAACAATAATAATAATAGCAGGGCTCAAGAACATAGACATATTAATGGAAGAAACGTCTTACAATATGGAAGAAACGATTGAATAGCACTCAAGAGCATAGGACAGACCTCCTTGACCGACCGAACCTCCTGGGAAGTTAGCATGGCCGTTAAACACATAAGAGTAGTGATAGATAATATAAAAAAATAAATTAGAAATATTAGACCAAACGAAGGCGTTTCATGATGGAGAGGTATAGTGTTACTTACCTGAGCAGACGTTGCATCGCTTGCATTTCCAGAAATAATCAGCTGTCGAATTATCTTAGTACAAAACAACCATCTTTCACAAGTCAAAAGTAGACTACTTTGATGTTCCCTCAAAGAATTTGATGGATCAGGCAGAGCTAAACTGGAAAAACTCTGTAATATAGTCTGTACATCACTCTTCCATAGGCTCCACGAATAATCGAATAGTAGTGCAGCTATCTGGAAAAGCGGGTCATTACGTTTCTTCAGAGAAAGGGATACCATTGATAATTAAAATCGTAAAAATTGTTACACTCAGAAAGAAATTGTCCTTCTCAGAAACCTAGTGAAAGTAAAAGTTTTAAGGCAGCTCAATCGCCTTTAAAACAACATAAAGTCATTTTCGAAAGAACTGTAGCTAACTGGTGTACTACAAAATAAAAATTAAAATAGAACGTAAATACCAAGTTCTATCATCCTACGATAATTTATCATAGATTATGAACTAATAACGTTACATAATGAACGCCTTACCTAAGGCGGCAAAAGAATAAATTGAAAATCCAATTAAATCTTCTAGCTGAAATGACAACCTTGATCGACTTTATACAATAAGAGCACCAAACAATCTGACTACTTATTTTCATCATATTAGCAATAAAAAAGATCAATTTATCACATAGTAACTTGAATATAAATTTTATAAAGAGTGAACAAAACTTTTATCAGTTTCTTCATCGTAGAATTAGATAGAGAAACTTAAAAGACACAAAAAATTATTTTTATGAGTAAAATTCAAAATTTCAAAATTTGAGATATTCATGAAGAAGCAAATGTTATGTGAAATAAAATTAACAAGCACTATTAAATAAGTAGCAAAAGATGTGTTTGGAGAATCAAAAGAAAAAGTTTATATGAATAAAAATAGTTAATAGTGGAATAATAATGTGCAAAAAAAGATAAAATATAAGAAGTTATGTCATAAAAATTGGTTTGAATGTAAAAGCTTGGAGAACTGGGAAAAATATCAAACGGCCCGCAGGGAATCTTAAAGAATAATCTGTGACGCTAAAAAATCTGCTTTTAATTATCTTTATAATACATTAGAAAGTAAGGAAAGTGAAAAATATATGTATAAACTAGTCAAACAAAGAGAAAAAAAAAGTAAAGATTTAACTCAAGTAAAGTGAATTAAAGATAAAATCAAAAAGTATTTTTCTTAGAAAAAGATATTCGACATAAGTGGGTGAGTTACTTTGATAATTTTTTTAATGAAGTTTCTGAAAATACGATCGACCTTAGTGGTCTTAATATCGTGAATAATAATAAATCGTTTCATTTTTACCGTCGCATTAGTAAAAAAGAAGTTGAGGAGACTTTAAAAAAAAAACCAATGGTGGAAAGTCTGTAAGACCTGATGATATCCAAATTGAAGTGTGGAAATATTTAGGAGATTTGGGAGTTTCTTGGCTTACTAAACTCCTTAATATTATTTTAAAAAACTAAAAAGATGTCTGAGGAGTGGAAGAAGAGTATTTTGGTCCCCATTTTTAAGAATAAAGGGGATGCACAAGAGTGTGCAAATTATAGATGAATTAAGTTGATATGTCATGCTTTAAAGTTATGGGAGAGAGTAATTGAACATAGGTTAAGACGTACCACAAAGATTTCTCATAATCAATTTGGATTTATGCCGAGTAGGTCTACTATGGAAGCTATACATTTATTGAGAGGTTTGATGGAGAAGTTCAGAGATAATAAGGAGAATCTACATTTGATTTTTATTGATTTAGAAAAAGCTTACGATAAGGTTCCATGAGATATCCTATGGAGAGTTCTTGAGAAGAAAGGTGTTGATATGACTTATATTCAAGTCATTACAGATATGTATACTAGAGCTGCTACTTGAGTTCAAACTGAAGGAGGATTGACCAAATATTTTCCTATTTCTGTTGGATTACATCAGGGATTGGTTTTAAGCCAATATCTTTTTGTTTTAGTTATGGATGATCTTACTAGACATCTACAGGAGAATCAACCTTGGTGTATGCTTTTTGCTGATGATATCCTTCTCGTGGATAAAACGAGAGAAAAAGCCCAGGACAAGGAGTCTAAAGGCCTTCATTTAAGTAGAACTAAAACTGAATACATGGAATGTAATTTTAGTAGTAATAGCTCTAGTGACAGAAGTGTGACTTTGGGTGATCAAATTATTAAAAGGTGTGAACGATTTAGATATCTTGAGTACGTTGTTCATAGCGATGGTGATATAGATGGGGATGTTAATAGTAGAATTCAAGTTGGTTGGTTGAAGTGAAGGAATGCTTCGGGCATTTTGTGTGATAGAAAAGTACCGCTTAGACTGAAAGGAAAATTTTATAAGACGGTGGTGAGACCTGTAATGCGATATGGCGTTGAATGTTGGCCTTTAAAAGAGAAGCATAATAATAAGTTAAGTGTTGCCGAGATGAGAATGATTAGGTGGATGAGTGGCTTTACACTTAGAGACAAAATGCGAAATGAATATATCTGTGATAGGGTTGGTGTAGCTCCTGTGACAAACAAAATTAGAGAAAGTCGTCTTAGATGGTTTGGTCACATTAAACGTCGACCATCTGAAGATCCGATTAGGACAGTAGATGTTTTAGATTCAACTTGGATCAAGAAAGGCAGAGGTAGACCTAGGAAGACTTTGGCTTATTGCGTTAAAAATGATTTTAATTTACTAGAACTAAATGAAAATATGACACTAAATAGGACGCAATGGAGAAAAAGGATTCATATAGCCGACCCCACGTAGTGGGACTAAGGTTTTGTTGTTGTTGTTGTTGTTGTTGTGTTTACCAAAAAAAATAATTCTTATTGTCATCATATTGGCAAAACTAGTATTTTTTTTTTCTTTAATTCATAAAATATCCCACAGAAAGACGGGGCAAAAAGAATGAAAAAGTCTCCAGTTGGTCAACCAACTTGCATGGCTAGTCAAAGCAAATGACCAACTAAAAGCTATCGATTACCATAGTTAGCAAGAAATGAGTACCAAAGAGTCTCGCCTAATCGAAACCCATAAACGACTGCTTGGGTTGGTTGCAAATTAACTATTTTGTCAAGGCTACAACTCATTCAAAGCTATATGTGTTGGATAAAACAGGCATTTATGCCTATTTTGAGTGCAACCAATATATGGCCGCCTGGGAGATATTTAACCCAGTCTAACCCAGGCACGCATGTCTATGTTTAAACCTAACCCATGCGTGGCCACTTGGAAAGTTGGATGACCAACTAGAAGTGTTCAACGACCAGTTGGAACCATTGGTTGACCAGCTGAAACCATAGGTTAATGAAACGCAAGGCTGGCTAAAGAAATGCTGCTTGACCAACTTTTGGTTGTTTGACCAAAAATCTAGTTGACCGGATTGAGCATTACTAACTCATCCATCTGTTGGAAAGCGAGTTGGGAAACATACATTAATCATTTTTCAAAATTTGCAATTTACGTTAAAGGATTAGAACAGTATGAGCACTTGTATTACCTTGTACCATTCAAAAGCAAGCAAGAATATTTTGCATTACAGCAAAACAAAGGTAAAATGAATAATTTTTAATATTTATTGTTTAAAAAAAAAACAATTCACCCAATTTTAATTGTGTTCTATTTTTTTAAGTTTATTAATGGAATGGTAGATTCAATTTAGTTATGGAATTCCATAGCTACAATAATTTATTGTTAAAGTATTGGGACTTATATACTCATTATGAGGTTATAAGCAAAAGTGGAATACAATTAAATTCATATAAAAAGGGAAATCGTTTGACTGCCATAAAGATGAACTTATGGTTTATATCATATACAACAATATATTAAAGCATAAAAATTTAAATAAAAATGCTTCAATGTAATGACAGAAGTATGACTAAAGATCAGATAATGAATAATTTGTGAATGATAATGATGAGGCAACATCATCGGATGTGCAAAAAAAATTTCAATGTTAAATTCTTTGATGGAGACAGAAGTATGACCAATAGGTCTGATAATAAAAGCCAGAAAGAAACAAGCAAAAAAAGTATACATTAAAATTTATGTAATTGAAGTTTTAATATAGCCACTTGTTTAAATTTTTATTAATATTTTATAAACAACATTATTTAAGATGGAGAAAAAAGGTTGAGATTAAAGATGAGGATGAAAGAAAAAACACGAATACAATTGAAGCAGGGGAGGAAGCAATTTATTATTTTTGTTTTTGGCATTTTATTATCATCTAGGCGATGCAATGCATTACTTCATGTTGACTCTTATCATATACTGATCTTAAAATTTAATCTATTAAAAAAAACAAATCACTAACACCACTACAATCTACAATTTAGTGAAAACAAATTAATTTACCGCCGTTTCAAATTGAAGAGCTCCTTCTGTAGTTCAATGTCTTATGCCATTAGGGAAAGCATTTCAATCTTCTCAATATCATACTGAAGATAATTCAACTGCTATTTGATCCAATGAAAGTCTTCTTGACGTCTTCTAGCTTTAAGACTCCTTTAAGAGTGTAAATTTAAATAGCTCTTCTTCTTGTGATTATTATATTGAGAGAGATTTTGAACTTCTTATAGCACTAATTAAGTTCTTCTCTTCAATGGCAAGCACCTTTGAGCTTACCTCCAAAATAATTTCAAATAGGAATAATTATAGCACTCATTTATGTCCTTACAAACTAGCTCTATAGTTCACAACAATGAATTTTCCTGCAAAAATATTCCTAAAGCAACAATTGTAACAACCAGAAAAAAAAAAGGAAATTTTATTTTCTTAGGTCTGTTCAAAAGGAGAATTCATTTTGATGGGTTTAGAGATGAATAAGTTGTCTCCATTCAAATCCGTAGTGAGTCAAAGAGGAGAGTGGGAGGCAGAGCAGTGGGAGGGTGAGGAAGGATGACGCCTCTTAACTTATAGTTGACATTACTTCAGACTGACTTCGGCAATTATCTTGTGTCTAGGGCAAGAAGACGCCATTGCTTGTGGCGGGGATGTGGTACTTGTTCATGTGTCGAAGTCGACACTAGAAACGACGTCAGTATCGCGTGCAAGGGGCTTTACCACGTGCAGAAAGGAGGGATTGTGGGGTCAATCGGAGTGTGCCTACTGTAAGATCTAATCGAGTAGCTTTGTGTGTGAAGGAAGGATGAGAGACTTTGCGGCGGATTTGCAAGCGGAGGAATAGAAACGACCAAGCTGA